TGAAAAATAAAACTACCCGCATCTTGAAAGAGTTGACAAAAGACTTTCAATACTGCTTTGAACAATAAAAGATTCTAATTGTAATTAATGGTTTAACCTGCATAATACATTATATTTAACGTAATTTGAAATAAATAATAGTTTGTCCGTTTTTCGTCTTTGCTTCTAATCAAAGCCATGGCTAAAAAATTCCTGTTTCATCAAGCTTTTCTAGCATTAACAAAATTTCTAGCACCCTCTGTAAAATTATTGGTAACATTTATATTCTTTTAAGTTAAAATCTTGTCTAAATAAGATAGTTAGTTGAAAATATATAATGTATAAAGAATTACAAAATATAGAAAGTGCCACAAAAATGGCTACAAATGTAAATAAAATCATTTTGAATCGTAATATTGGTTTGAAGCTGACATGCCATCGTTTTAAAACAAATCAAAATTGTTCATACTTAAATTATTGAAAACAAAAAAGTACTTTATAAGTACAAAGCAATATAAGTACATATTTTCAGAAATAATTAAATAAAATCTTTTTTACGTAATTGTTATATAATGAATGCGAACTAAGTCATACACCGTATGACTTACCGCCATTTTGTGGATCTGTTGGGAATTAAACCTATATAACTATATGAAATATTCAACAGTTCATTTGAACACGATGATAATAATGTGCTTTAATAACATAAAAACTTTTTAACGTCCTGTGGTTTGAATTCTTAAAAAGAAAAAAAAATTAAAAAATATGCAACTTCTTTCGTTTGACAACAGCCCCGACTGGGTTCTAGTTCTTTAAATTTCAGTTAACGTTCAAATTTATAAGTTTGAACGAACCATTTAAATAGTAGATATGAAATAATATTGTCTGACTTATGTATTAAGTATTAAGGTTTAATTTGCAATCATTATAGTGCTTATTCAAGACCAAAACATATAGACTAGAAACTAAAGCGCAGATGACACGTTGCCATGCAGAACATGAACAGGTGGGGAATCAGGGCCATATTAGGAAAATAGTTGAGACAAACTGGACGAAAGGAGCAGAAAACAGAAAAACGTGAAATCCGAGAAGAACTCTTTATACAACAGTCGACAGGGCTAGAAAAAGATAATGTTTAGTTTATTTTACTCAACTAGAGAATTAAACTTAAAAAATCTACGTATTTAATGATCTTCAACGATTTAAAAACTGATACAACCTATTCAATATTGGTTAAAATGATCAAGGTAATAATTGTAAAATAATGATTACGCAAAAAAAAATAATTGAACAAAGATAGTTTCTACTACAATGCATTGTACCGAAATTTATTAGAAAAGAAAATTATATCTCTTTTGTGCATCCCCCTCTTTTGTGTGTTGAACAACACAAACATTTAGTTCCTTGAAATTTTCCGAAAGTGATGATAGGATATGAGAGTTGTTATGATACAGTCTATCAAAAATAACGAAAGACTAAAAACATAATTTCAGCCATTCTTAATGATTTTGATCCTGTGTTGAATACCAAATATGGTAGTTTTGCCTACCATAATGTCATATGCATGCTACAACCATGGAAACCTCTAAAATAACTTCGTTTTATATAGTCTTAATGCATTTTATGTTTGGCAAATGATTTAATGCATACAACACAGTTTTATAACCACACATTCAATGTGAAAAATGATGTAGTGAAATATTCTACCAATTTGGTAATTATCCACATTGATATCGGATTTATATATATATATATATATATATATATATATATATATATATATATATATATATATATATATATATAGGAACATAAGACAGGTACAATAAACAAATCGACCAGTCAATGATGAACATAATTTCACAAAAAATAAAATAAATTTTTAAATTTGCCAGTATGTTATATAATAGTAGAATAGTATTTCAAATAATAATAAATTACATTAAATACCATATAGGTTTTATGTAAATATTTTTAATTATATAATTTTTAGCCTTGGTATTTTAAAAATATCTATCTATACAACAGAAATCTATTTGAATGGTTATGAGTTGAGAATTCTAGAAACTAACCGGTAAATTTGATAAATTTTCAATTTTACTGACCTGAATAGGTGTGGTTTTCACCATAACCAACCTCGTCATCATTTTATCATTTATTTTCAATAAAAAACGTGATTTACTTCTCTTAAGTATAGTAGATAATATAATTTATCCTATTTACCGAATTTAGTGGTATTTATAAATAAGTTTTCAGAAACTATACATAAACGTTCCTAGCATAGATTACTTATATATTGGTAAAGTAAACATAGTCATCACTCTATATCAGAGTATGTCTCAAGTGAAAGCCTCCAATTACAGCATGTGAGGGGCATAGACTTTTATATAATAATATGTCTATGGTGTGAGGTTTTATATATGTCTATGATACTAATTTCCTCTATCTCCTACTATGTTACTGGCTTAACAAGCTAGAGGGCGAAGAAGAAAAAGAAAAGAAAAATAATAAAATAGAAACTGACATAGATCTTTTTCTGGAAGAGTTGAATATTGTGTTGGTAGGAGATAATAAATCTAAAAAGGATCTGATCCTTTTTTTATATTTGTAGATTTATTATTAGAAAAGTTATTCCCGGGAGAAGTGTTTAGATTGTATCCAATGTTTATTTAAACCACAATCCGATTATTCTTATGCTTCTGTTGGGAAATTTAGCAGGTTAGTAAGTTAAAAAAAATATTGGTGAGTTAATGATTACCACAAGACACTTTTCAGGTTGTGGAAAATACAGAAAAAGCCTTGTTTTCAAGGTATAGGTATTTTTGTAATTTTTTGAGCATAAAACAATCGTTTTGCCTGCTCACAAGTTCAATTTGATAAAGCAAGTACGAAACTTTATTATTCTATGATAAAAATTAACAATAAAACTAACAGAAGTGAGATCTTTCAAAATTTTCTTATATTCAGTCAGTTTAATCTTGAAATTCTCGCCCTCTTATTTTTTGTCTGCCGAAAAGCCGCCTGTAATTCTGCCTTAATAACATCATAGGAAGTTCGACCTCTAGGTCCTTCAATAGAACTCTGTGGATGGCATTTTCACTTTGCCTGATGAAACGCACAGTCTATATATGTCTGATATTAATATGATACTATATTCTCAGTTTAGAAATTAACCTATTTACCTGGGGTAATTGAGATGTCGAGAAATAAACAGTTTAAATTTAAAATCAGCTATAACAACATTACATTTTTAAACGTTTTTGAATAAATTAAATATTTATTCATCTCTGTTGATTTTAAAACTTCTGTAATTGCCTTCGAGAATTTTGGCAGTTAATCTTCAGTAATCAGTCATTGGATTGTTGATAATCAAGTAAAAATTCCTCAGTAACAAGAATATGTTGATATAAATGAATTCAGTACACGTTATATCCATAAGCATCACAAGCAAAAGCTATCGTCCAAAATGTGTATGAGATTTTGTTCGAAATTAACCCACATAAACTATAAAAAATGTTTTTAAATTACGTATCTCCTAACTCTGTATTTTATTGCAAATGAGGCAATTATATACGGAAAGAAACTAAACTTAGGTAATTGAACTCAGTCGAAAAACAAAGTACATAAGAAAACTTTCACACAAGCAAAACGTTTCGCCGAAATTTTCTTCATGTATATGTTCAAGAAAAATTTAAATTATTAATCAATTAAGTTGGTAAGCTGTAATTAATGCCGTATAAAATAGAAGACAAATATAAGTAAAACCTTGTTGCGGTTAAAAAAAAAATGATTATCCATTACCCGAAGATGGCGAAACAGACATAAACACTGGAAACGAATGTGACATAGACAATTAAATATATTTTATATTGTCAATATTTCAACTTAATGTTGTTATTGTTGTAATGGTTAGTGTTGACGACAAATTACAAATAAATGATTCATATTTTAGTCAAATGTTCAAAACTTCAACGATGTTTACTGTAACCTTTGTCTTTGGTTTTACTTAAGGATAATATTTGTATTACATAGTTATAAATTTGTTTTGTATCCGATGTTACTAAATGCGTTTTTCAAACTACAGCCGAGTAAACGATTTGTTTATAAAAATAAATTAAATTGTGTTCATCGGTGACTGGGCTGTTCCTTAATACTTGTTTAAAATAAGTCCATAAAATAATTTGGTAAAGCAAGCTTCATTGAATAAGAATTATAAGATATATCGTCAATCGAAACTCTAGCCTATTGCAAATTACTAAGTTCATCAGTCAATCAGAATATTCAAAACAGACTGGCCGAACACACATATATTGGTACAGTTAAAAATAGAATTGAGTAACGATTAAGAGTTAGTTAGCAAATCGGTGCAAGATAAGTATTTAGAGTGGCAAGAAAATGGACAAAGAGCTATAGAAGACATTCAGTCAAATTCTCAGCGGACTTACTAACCCACACTAGAAGGATTTTCAAGGTGTTACTGGACACTATATTCTCAATAAGCAGTTAAGTCTTATGGGCTGCCTCACAAACATGTGGTATCTATAACACGGAGAGGAAAAAAACAGAAGTATTAGCCTATATGAAAATACTCTTTTCAAGACTGTGGAACCTCATTAAGAGGATAGGACAGGAGTTTTAATCGACAAAGAAGCACAGTATATCTGTAAAAGATCGCAGTGTGTTCTTAGTTTGTAATATGTACAGCGTGTTTGTTTTTTAACGCCTTACCCTACCGTAGGGATCAAAATGATCGAAACCAAAGAACAAATGTGTGTTTTTAACACGGACGTTTGAAAAATATCTAGCGGTAGTATAGCTCGAACTAAATATACGCTATACCACTCACGATGAAGTGAGCCGATGAGCTATTAACCCGAGAAAAGTTACAATCAAGGAATCAAGGATACAGTTGGGAATAAACCAATAAATATAACCTAAATTCCTTATTTTTGGAAATTGTTTAAAAAATACATTTTTGTATTTAACATAAAATAAAGATTTTTTTTAAATTTTGATTTATTATCACCAACATATTTGATCAAGTATGATATGGTCAAAGTAAACAGTTGCAAAATGTAGTAAATTAGACAGATCTTACCTTAATAAAACATTTTAAAGTGGGACTAAAAAATAATTAATGTAATCGATTTAAGTAAATTCTTAATTATATAGAGATCATTTTTAAATAGTACTTTGATATTTATATAAAAATCTTTTTATCAATAAATTTCTAAAACAGTTTTTTAAAACTTCGACATGTTAACTCACATAATTTGTAGATGGATATCTCTCTTTAATCCATCAAGTGTTATATATAATAATCTTTTTGTAAAACAATTAATGGCATCAGTTACATTTTATCACCTGAAAAATGTTTATCAGTTATGTTCAATTATTTCGTACTTTATGCAGGTTCCAGTTTGTATTTTTTTTAAATTGTAATAGTTTTTAAAGTTTTTTAAGTGATTCATAAGCACCCATACGACTTTTTTAGAGAATGGTTGTACATCATATTCAGTGTTAAAAAAGGGAACATTGTTCATCTGATGAATGTTGCTCATCTTTAACATATTTTTGTTCCATTTTTATTTTGAAAATTTTACCAAATCTTATTGAGTATTTCTATAGTTTTTTTGTCAATGATCTTGTTTTCAGTTCTTCCTTTATTACGTGAAATTATTTCTTCCTAGGCCATCATTTATGCTCTTCCTTAAATTTTTCACACAATCCTGATTAGCCAATATCATGCACGGAAATCTACGGATTTTAATAAGATCGTCGTTTGTGCGTTAAGACCTTAAACCTATTTTTTGACATAGAAAAGTTCAGACTGAACGCACAACGATTAATACAATTGAAATTATTGAATACTAATGGGGTTACAACGTGCTCCAAATTCCCCCCTGACATGTACCTTGTTTTATATAACAAAAAAAGGTTGACATTGTCCTAAACAGATAATTAAAACTATATTCTGTTAGGAATTTAAAAAAATTAAAATTGTGGGTTGGGTGCTACGTACAAAAATCTATAATATTCAATATACTATTAAATATTAGTTCCAAAGTATATAAAAGTTCTTCCCATCACTTAAAAGAATCCAAATGTGGTTTTTATGTCAATATCACAGACAACTCTTAGCTGCATATAAATCAGCATAATTTTAATTAAAATACAATTCTTAAATTGAAATATATGGCCTAGTCCTATCGTTTTCGACAACACTGACTTCATTAGAATATTCTAGCGCTTAGGATGGATTTGGTAAGGCTATATGTGTTATTTATTATCTAAAGAGATTGAAATACCGCCCAATTGAATGTACTGTATACCTCAAAAAATGGACTGTAACGTGACTAAGAGAAAAATTTAAGAACTGTACTTGAACGAAAAACCAATAATAAGTAAACATTTTTCCAGGCGATGGTATCTTAATCAACTCATGAACCTACTACCAACATACTTATAAAACAGACTCTTTCAGTTGTATCTCTTCCTTTTCATCGGGTGATGAAGTAGCTGTTTCAACTATCGTGGGAATAACGTTCTTCCCACTTCCCCCTCCCATCGTTATTGGTTCATCGTCTTCTTCTTCGTCTTCGTCAATAGGCGTGAGAGCGTCACCGTCTCCAGGTGCCGGTTCGTCGGAGGGAACAAAGCATTTCAGGCAGGGTGCTAAAATAAAAATAGTTTAAGTACTTCATAAAAAATCGCGTGAAATGTAATAAAATTATAATAACAGAAATATTTATTACATCACTAATACGAATCTAAGTTAGTTGCAAAACTGCACCAAAAGTAGCTGATATCCAGAATTTGTATTAAGTAGGGAAGTTCTTCTATTGCTTCTCAATTTGTGCGATGCTTAGTTTCTAAATTATTATAAAGCGTTTCGGACAAGGTACCCAGGACCAGACGCAGTCCAGTTCATTCCAGAGAACCTGAGATCGTGTTATTCAGCTATCAAAACAACATTCTTGTGACACATCACTTAATTTATCCATTAATGTGTTTTTATCCATCTTAGTATATCCTGCATTATGCTTAGTTTATCGTTTCTCGTCTTGACTTCTTATTTCGGTTATGTTAAGGTCTGTTCCATCTCACACAGAAACCGTACAATCTACGGTAATGCTTCTGCGCAATAGATAAATGCGTTCCAATTTAAAATGGTCGGTTCATCGTACTATCCCTTTTGCTTTCCAACTCAACTTGTGATCCTTCAATGTACGGTTTCGAAACCGTCATTTCAGTACGCGGGCAAAACCTATTAACGTTTGGACTGATCTGTGCATTAAGTGGTACTAGACAAAAATTCTCATTTTAGCTTAGTTGGTCGTTTTATTTTGATTTTCAAGTGAGGTTAAGTGTTTCAGCACTATTCTTTATAGTATGTATTGTTAAAATTACTCACATTTTACAGCATTGAAAATGGAACTTTTTTGCCTGATTTAAAATATTATTTTTTCTCGAAATAAATTATTTTTGGTTGAATTATATTGTTTCTTCTTTCAATTAGATAATTTCTTATTTTGATTTGTTAAAGTTTTTCTTTTCACTTTCACTAATAATAAAAATTTCACTAATTTCCTTCTCACACTCAAAATATATTTAGGGCCTCTACCTACAATTGTGCTTATTACTATAAAATATAAATATTCATATTCAAAAACAAACTTGCCCGTTTTATTTTGATTATCTGAAAATTTCTTGTAATTTCTTTCAAGAGCCCTTCAACGATTAAATAAACAAGTATCGGGTGTTACTTTGAGATACCATTATCATTTAAATGTGGGGCTATTTTTAGCCACAGTACTTTGGTATTTTTTATTTCTAAAGTAAAAGTTTGCGTTTGTATTTTATATAGAATCTAATAATAATTTGGAATCGTTTTCGTTCCATTTATAATCAAATTTGATGTTTGTGTTTTGTGAAGATCGTCCTGGCATGAGTGGATCAAAAAATTATGTATTTTTGTAAATCAGCAATTTACAAATAAACAATATTATTTTAACTATTATACCTATTTTTTCCAAATTTTACTTATCAATATTACATTATTAGAATGGTTAAAATACAGAAAGAGTGGCAAGCAAACAATTAACAAACTGTTCTTCTTTGTTTTTTTTGCCTGTTTTAAACAAATGGCCAGAATTAAAACAAATGACCAGTCCTTAGATTTTTTGTTCTGGTTATTTTTATTATTTTTATTCCGTATGCCATTATTGGCCACAGGTCAGCAACTATAACTAAATAAAAATAAACGAAGAAACAAAGCAGATAATTGGGATCGCGAGAAAGCTATTTAATACTTGAACATCGTACAACGTTCTTTGGAAAGAACATTGTACTTCATGTATGAACGTTCTACTTCAATTCAGCCACCGAGATGAGATTTGTACGGCGGTAATAGATACAGAAGTGAAACTGATAGAATAAAATAAGTGAGAAGCAACTAGGACGACTCGGTCCTATATACAGAAAGAATCATGAAAGACTGGCAAAAATAAAATTCAAAGCCAGAGTACAGGAAGGAAATAAGGTTGGTTTATCGCGACTAAGATGTAAAGAACAAGTTATACACTTGCTCGAACGGAGACTTCAGGAATGAACCATATGGACAAAACGTATAAAGGTGGGAAAATAAATATAACATACGGATACAAAAACAATTTCGATAGAAGGAAAGAAGAATATAAGAACAGCAATTAAACAAATGAATACGTACGACAACAATATCATAACTGAAGCAGATTTCAAAGAAACAGAGTAGCATGGCAAGCTCAACGAGAACGAAACAATAATCAATGGAGAAACAATATATAGTGTTTAAAAATAGAGACTTTAAAACTAGAGATTTAAGACTAGAGAATTTAAAAATTAATAATGTAAGTTTTTGGTAAAGTAATTATATTATAAAATAAGTTATTGTTAATATTTATTATATATATATATATATATATATATATATATTATATATATACATATATATATATATATATATATATAAATAACACTGTTTTTGATGGGTTGGAGTCAATAAAAGGGGCTATTTGTTGACTATTTTTTACTCGAGCTTTCAATTGTGATTACAATTTTTATCAAGAGCTTCTAAAAATACAAAATATCTTACAAAGTTGAACTAGAAATAAATAATGTTGTTGTTAACTCACCAAATAAAATTAGTTATTTATATAAAACTGCTGCTAACATTATTACAAAAAATATTATTAAAAAAAATGTTCTATTCTAATAAATGTTTCTCTGACAAATTTAGATAAAGTTTCTTAACAAAAAACAATTGGATTTATAAACAAAAATTGAATAGCTACAATTCAGCCTAAATGACGTAAATAACAACTTAAAAATTTTTATTTTTGACTTATTGTCAAAAATAAAATTTTTGTTTAAAAATTCTTCTTTGTTTAGTAACAAAAAAGAAGAAGATTTATTCATCATTGATAGATGCCCGAAAAAATGTAACAAATACATGGAAAATTCAAAATGTGATTTTACTGACTGCATAAATTAAATAGAAATTATATAATTATAAATTTTGCTTAAATTTTGAATTTCTGACCTTTTGTTTAAATTATTATCACTTTTGCTAATACAAACCATTTCCAAAAAAGTTCTTTTAAATTTATTACTTTCATTACATAAAATTTTAATATTATCAAAATCCATAATATGGTCTTTGTCTATTACATGCTCTGCCAAAGCACAAGATGGTTTCTTAATTCTACAATCACTCTTGTGAGAAATAATGCGATTTGAGAGATTTCTTCCAGTCTCACCAATATACTCAGCTTCACACTGAGTACAAACAATGCTGTATACTACATTTGTTTGATCTAATTTGTCTATAGGATATTTAGTTTTGGAATATAAAGATGAAATAGTTTTGATGTTCTTTGTTGCTATTTTTATATTGTCAATAACCTTTAATGTTTGTATTAATTTAGGAGTTAAAGATGGTATAAAAGGTAGTGAATGATAATATATGTTTTGATTGTTGGATACAGTGTTTTGAGATTTAGCAAAAAATGGTGTTAAGTTATTTATATTTAATAAATTAGAAAAAAAAAAAAAAAAAAAAAAAAGCATCCTATGTAGCATATCAGGAGGATAAGAGTTTTCAATTAAAATATTTTTTAACAAATGAAGATCTTCTTGTAGATAGTCTGGATGAGAAAGTTTTAAAACACGTTCCTTTAATCCTGTTATAAGGTTCATTTTCATTTTATTTGGATGATTAGAGTAATAGCTTATAAATCTATTACTACATATGGGTTTTCTGAACCATCTAGTTTTCAACATATTGTCTGTATTTCTTACAATTTTCATGTCAAGGAATGGTAGAGAATTATCCACCTCTTCCTCAACTGTAAATTGTATATGTTGATTATGATTGTTGAAAATGTTGACTGTTTCAAGAATTTTGTGTTTAGGAAGTGCCAAAACTAGATCATCTACATATCTTTTGATAAATGGAATGAAAAAAGTGCAATTATTGATACAATCACTAATAACATCATCCATGACATAGCTTATATTCTTTTTTCTTACTCTTATATATATATATATATATATATATATATATATATATATATATATATATATATATATATATATATATATATATATATATATATATATATGGCGTTACAAGTTTTAATTAAAAGTAATACAGTTATGTTAAAACTCTGAAATTACGAAGCTCTATGTTTTGGATGACGCTGAGTTGAAATATAATGTTATTCTGAATATGTCACTTTCGGTTATACCGAAAGTAGACGTCAACTTTGGTTTTTTTTAATAAAACCTAATAATTTTTATTTTTATTTCGAATTCTTTATGAAATTTTAGATACAATTTGTGCACAATGTCCTGTACCAAAAATGAAGTATTTTCAAGATTCTCTTAAAGTAAGCAACTTATAAATGATTTGAATTTTGCATATTAGCGGTTAAGTTTAAAATTCTGAAAAGTAACCAATAGAATGAAAGGATTATTAATTGTGGATATCATTAAAAACGTTGTAGGTATTTGCTATTAATTTAATTAGATAACTTACAAACTAAAATAACTACATGTAATTTTAAACAAATTAAATGTTATAATCATAACTTTTAAAAATTAGCACCATCTACTTGTAAACATTTATGAATATCCTTCATTAAGTTAGGCCTTGAAATTGTGGAAAATATGTACCTGATTTTTAATGTAACTTCAAATGCCAAAATCTAAAAGAGATAAGTCCGAGCTGTCCTACGAAACACGCCATGATTGGCAATCCATCTATTATAAAAAATGTAAATATGCTGAACAAAATGTAAATATGCTGATAACAAGATGAAGCCGCCTCTCCATTTTGTAAAGTAAGTAACGTCGCGCATCGGTCGTATGTCTGCTTCTAAAAGGTGTTAATATCTTTCGCCACTTAAATTTACTATAAAATTTTAATGTTAAAATTTGGATGTTTAATGGTAATTTCAAGTCAAAATTTGCCATTCGTTTGCCTTTCAATAAAGTTGAAAATATTGAAGACGAAGCCAAAGCTATGACTTCTGCGATCTGATCTTTGCCTATAACAATAAAATTAGTAACTTGTTTTCTGTCCAACCTCAGCATCAAAGAAGTAAATTTAACCAGATCCAATGTTTACAGCTTCT